CGCTTTGACGCTCTCGCCGCTCGCAGTGTGAACGTAGCATTAGACCTTAAGTTTAATGGTAATTGGTTCACTGATAGTAGAGTTGTGTGTTTTGGAACACACCCCTAGATTGTGTGAGGAGTTTGGTGCTCAGAAATTGGCTTTTGGTGGGAAATCAGCTGTCTGACACCTAAGTGACTGCAGAAAGCATGCTGATGTTGATCCTGCTGGCTCAATGGGCCAGAAGAGGGGAGACAGCTGGAGAAAGAGCATGATTAAGTGAGGGACATGAGTGAAAGTTAGAAACTTTCAACCATTAAGATGTTAATAAGCGGTATAGAGGTTGATGGGGTGCGGATTCCTTCGTCCAATCCACCCATCCATAGTGTTTATAAAATAAAGTATTAAAGTCTAGTAATGCCGGTTTTTGGAGTCTGTTTTTAATATACTTTTGTAGTTATACTTTAAAAAACTATTTTGTAAATCCATTCAGGGACTGGAAAAAAAATCTGCCTGTTAGAGTATCTGTGTATTTTCACATCAAGTTATTTAAGTATTCACACACAAGAGAACCTTGAACATTTGCAGAACCACACACTTTCATTTTGAGTAAGGTTAACCAGGCTTATCACCTTAGATTTTAATAGTGGAATTCAAGCATAAGAGACTCCGAAATGTTAATATGTTAAGTTTAATAGTGCATAATCCCACTCTTTTTAATCATAATTACTGCTGTGTGTTGAGCAGAATGTATATTGGTTTACATTTTTAATTTGCTGGTTTTATTTTGTGTGTACTATTCATTCCTGCCCGTAAATTTATAGCGTTTACTAGGACAATGAAATGCATTGCTCTTTTGTATAACCAGACTTCGAGAACTTTCTGCCTAGCTTTTGTTTCATGCGGCTTGATAAAAACTCTATCTATAAATCAGAATAGAGGATGGTAATGCAAATTTAAAACGTTGTCTACACTCACCTAAAGGATTATTAGGAACACCTGTTCAATTTCTCATTAATGCAATTATCTAATCAACCAATCACATGGCAGTTGCTTCAATGCATTTAGGGGTGTGGTCCTGGTCAAGACAATCTCCTGAACTCCAAACTGAATGTCAGAATGGGAAAGAAAGGTGATTTAAGCAATTTTGAGCGTGGCATGGTTGTTGGTGCCAGACGGGCCGGTCTGAGTATTTCACAATCTGCTCAGTTACTGGGATTTTCACGCACAACCATTTCTAGGGTTTACAAAGAATGGTGTGCAAAGGGAAAAACATCCAGTATGCGGCAGTCCTGTGGGCGAAAATGCCTTGTTGATGTTAGAGGTCAGAGGAGAATGGGCCGACTGATTCAAGCTGATAGAAGAGCAACTTTGACTGAAATAACCACTCGTTACAACCGAGGTATGCAGCAAAGCATTTGTGAAGCCACAACACGCACAACCTTGAGGCGGATGGGCTACAACAGCAGAAGACCCCACCGGGTACCACTCATCTCCACTACAAATAGGAAAAAGAGGCTACAATTTGCACGAGCTCACCAAAATTGGACAGTTGAAGACTGGAAAAATGTTGCCTGGTCTGATGAGTCTCGATTTCTGTTGAGACATTCAAATGGTAGAGTCAGAATTTGGCGTAAACAGAATGAGGACATGGATCCATCATGCCTTGTTACCACTGTGCAGGCTGGTGGTGGTGGTGTAATGGTGTGGGGGATGTTTTCTTGGCACACTTTAGGCCCCTTAGTGCCAATTGGGCATCGTTTAAATGCCACGGCCTACCTGAGCATTGTTTCTGACCATGTCCATCCCTTTATGACCACCATGTACCCATCCTCTGATGGCTACTTCCAGCAGGATAATGCACCATGTCACAAAGCTCGAATCATTTCAAATTGGTTTCTTGAACATGACAATGAGTTCACTGTACTAAAATGGCCCCCACAGTCACCAGATCTCAACCCAATAGAGCATCTTTGGAACGGGAGCTTTGTGCCCTGGATGTGCATCCCACAAATCTCCATCAACTGCAAGATGCTATCCTATCAATATGGGCCAACATTTCTAAAGAATGCTTTCAGCACCTTGTAGAATCAATGCCACGTAGAATTAAGGCAGTTCTGATGGCGAAAGGGGGTCAAACACCGTATTAGTATGGTGTTCCTAATAATCCTTTAGGTGAGTGTATACTTGTGTTTTATTGGTCAGGCCATGACTTTTACTGAAATACTTGGAGATGAGATTTTTTTTTCTGCCTTTTTGGTCTTGCATATAGCACCTCCCCCCCCCCCACCCTTGTTTTTACATGTTTTGGTCTGGTCCATTTCGGGATTATTAATTTTCAGGCTTTCACTGGATGATCAGCTCCCTTGTCAGGAAAATGGATCTTCGTGTCTGTCCTTAGCGATGACTGAGCACTGCTGTGCCAGTGTAAGAAATAGGAATTTGCCAGTGGATTGATGATAGTGCAGAAGCAGGGATTTTGCTTATTACCTTTTTCCTTTTTCTGTTCTTCCTCGTCTTAAAGGGTTAATGCAGTCACACAGAGCAAAGTGATATATGAACATCCATAGGTACTTGACAGAGGGAAGAGGAATCAAAGAATCCGCATGTGTACAGTACAGTATAAAAGCAGGTGTACCGGTCTCCCTAAACCTCAAGTGTTTAAGAAACACCGCTAACTCCAACAGATCCAAATACATTTTAAAAATCACATGCAAAGAGCTTGTTTGTGCTGCACTTTGATTTGATTTTATACCATATTTCTAAATACCTGTGTGCAATAAATTTGGGAGAAATCAATAGAATGCTAGAATTCTAGTGTTAAAATGTGGTTAAGTACAATATGAAACATGTTGGGTTGGTGACTTATGATGAAATATTATCATTGGCTTGGTTTTGCCCTTCTCGATGCTAACCGCAACTTGGGCAGTAACGGCCAAACCAAAAAAAACACCATTTCGGTTTAGGTTTGGCTGCTATAATTTGCTTTTTTCTACATACCTGACTAAAAGGAAATAGCTTGTATCTCAGCTAGTTTCTTTTAGCCTTTACATCCAGCTGATTTAAAATGAAGAGATTAATCTTTTCTTCCCAAGAATATGTTGGCGGTGACAGCCCATCCATTAAAAATATAACTAAAGACAAAGCTGTCAGTGAGCAGGTAAATAAGTGTTTCCTAGATTGGTTGTGGGTGTTTTGAGTGGCAGACTTTGCGATGTCGAATTGGCAGGGAAACGCGACTGTGACTATGTAATAAATGTGGAATGAATGACTGGAAAACTAAGAAGCCATCTGTATTTTTGGCCGCACCTTCTGTCTGTCTGTCTGTCTATATAAAGTAATATTTTTGTGTGTGTGTGTTTTTTATTTTTAATTTTTTTTATTATATATAAAAAACATTTGCACAGTATATACATGACTGGGCTGTTCCCCAAAATGAGGAATCATGTATGTTATATTCCAAAAAGTCTTACAACAGTAAGGAAAAGCAGTCATTTTAAAGTGGTTCCATCAAACTAGATATTGGTATCAATGTGGCATTTTCAAAAACGATCTTCACTGAAACAGTTGGTCTCTCTCTTGCTCAATAAACCAATTAATTCTTGCTATGTTTATCTGACTGGGCTGCACATTAGACTCTTGCTGACTATCAGCGTTTGTCAACCAGTGTCACATCTAGTTAGCTGGAAGCTGACAGGAGAAAGGTACGCTTGACCTTCCTTATAACCCCACATATGGTCCCAGCATCTCCTGTACTTTAGCAACACTGCATACAAGATGGACCAACCACTGGTGTTCGGTTTCCTGTCGGAAATGTGCACATGGTGCTGTCCCACTCCTGCCGGCTCGACATTCAGTCTGGGAGGCTCGGCTCGGCCCTGGTCCTATTGATCGGACCCCCAGTGCCCCTGTTCCTCCAGCTGCCTCACTGGCTCCTCTCAGTGCCTGTCCTGTGCAATAGAGCGGAAATCCATAATCGGCTCGGTGCTCACCCAGGCAAGAAACCAAGTGAAATGCTATCAACCAATCTTCAATCCATGGAGCGTTGCCTATTTGTCTTGGTCTGGGGATGTCATGCCGGCTCTCATTCCCATTGACGGACTGTGGGGTTAGGGAGTAATCAGCATGCTTCAGATCAACAAGCAGTAAGATACGGGATACGTGTCTTTATCTTACTGAATGAAACCCAACTTCGCAAACAAACAACGTGCATTAATCGGAGTGTTATGCGATGAATTTGCAATTAAAGTGCGTAATGTTGTCACTAAGTAAACATTAAAAGTTTAATTTCACTTGTAAATGATGCTTAACTAAATGGTCTTTTTAACAATCCTTTGACAGATCAACATGGGAAGGCTCTCAACCTTTTATTTCCAGAATTTGGGTTTAAATAGTTTATATTCTTAGTGTACCATTTAAAGAATGGTTTTGATCTCTTTTGGAAGTATGTTAATGTTTTGAAAGCACTTGTCCTCAACTTAAAATTCATAATCTTGTACGTGTTTTATTTTGTTAATGTGTTTTTCTCTTAGATGTGCAATTATCTGCTGCTTTTAAAATTGTCCATATTACAACAAAACATGATCTTCCTTGCTTTACGATGGTTTGACTTCGTATACATTCCAACTTTACAATTCAGTACTTTGAATTTTGACCTACTGATGCAAGACTATGGTAGCATCCACCCAATCATGCTTCCAGTTTCTGTAGCCATCTTGACCTGTGTTTTTTTCTGAGCCTTTAATATCTGATAAATGCCCAATTGTGTCATATTCATATTCGACTTACGATATTTCCACATTTCGATTGGTTCATCAGACCATAACCCCCACCCCCCCAAAAGTGGAGGAGCATCTACATATTCGAGAAATGTTAATATGAACTACCTGTATGAATATGAAAGTTCCAGAAAGTAAAATCCTAGTTTGACGACTTATAGAAGATGCATCCATGGCCTGTAAGATACCTTAGTGCCCTGAATCCCTGCTGTAATAAGCATCCTCTGCTTTTTATTTCCATAGGCTGCCTCAGCAACCTGCCACCAAACGCAAAGAAGATTTCCAACTCATATGAAGAGCGACGCAAACAGGCCACAGCCATCGTCCTACTTGGAGTCATCGGTGCCGAGTTCGGGGCGGAAATCGAGCCCCCTAAACTCCTGTCTAGGGCCCGTACCACTACCCAGGCTCCTGACGGGTTCGGCCTGACCACCGGGGGGTCCAATTACTCTCTCGCCAGGCATACATGTGAGTGTCCACTATTGAGGGCTGTGGGGTCTTTTGGGAATTTCAGTTTTGCACCAGCTGCCTTGCTTTCATAGGTAAATAACTGTCAATATTGATCCTATTCAGCGGTACTCTGAAGATTTTTTGTTTTAGAATAACTGAATTACAGTACTGAATTGCAGTGTTTCCAATACATTCTTGTCTTTATTTTCTCTTTAGTCCATGGGGAACACAATGAAGAGAAACTAACCTTTATAAATCCAAAGGATGCTATATTTTCTCTTTTTTTTTCATAGCAATTGCAAAGTGGTCTGTGTTTATAGAGAGGTCGTTGTTTGTAGAGTAGTAAGAGCTGAACAAGTTGGGATACAAGGCTGTGTATGTATGAGCAATACGAAACTGGCAGACAAAATGCTTCACTATAATGATGTAGCAAAGCATCTCCTCAGAAATACTTAAACTGCAACCTTCAGTACTTGAGGCAAAGAAGTAAACTTCAAATTGGGTACTCATCTGACCTGGCTCTCTCAATTTCAGTTGAATTCAATGTTATTTGTATAGCGCATTTTCACATTACATTGTCTCAAAGTGCTTTACATTATCCCCCAGTGAGCACGCCAGAGGACACAGTGGCAAGGGAAAAACTTCTTAGTAGGAAGAAACCTTGGGAGGAACTAAGGGCCGGCCAAGGAAGTCAAATGAACAAGATAACAAAATCCTAATTTACACTGTCCAAATTGGGGCGATTCAACCCAAAACTGAAAAAAAGATTAGTTTCAGTCCCATTATATTTGAGAGAAGTCTGGCATTTCAACAACCAATATCTCCAAAACTAGGCAACTCCCAGCAGAACAACCTAGCACTGAGACATATCTTCTTCAGTTTTGGGTGAGCAGCCCCTTTAAATTATTCTGTATGGTGTTATTAATGCAGATTAGCTGCTTGTTGCACAGCTTCCAATTTCATCATTTAAATGAGTTCAGTCTATATTGGCTTACATGTGTGTACAGCAGGAAGTTTTTAAAATAATGTGCCTCGCCTGTCAAGTACCAGTGCCAATCCAGAAACTTAAATCTGCAAATTGCACAGTATGGTGCCTCAAAGCAGGAAGTTGGTTTTAATTTATGTCTGAATCTCTTTAATGCAGAGAAGGCAGCCCAGCTTTTGGCTCACCTGCAGAATGAAGTTGTTGCTTTTTGACCTCATAAAAAGCCTTGGATCTTATCAGAATTGCAGCACTAAAGAGGAGGTATATAAAATACCCCAGTCATCTTGAACAGTAGTGCAGCTTGCTGGTCTTTAGCGTAGAATGTGACAAATGAGATGTGCCGTTAAATGGCAAATTATTATTTTTTTTTACCGGTTTCTGTCGTGGCAGCATTGTCTGAAAAGCTGCTGATGCTTGATCTGTCACAGCCAGACAGGCGCACTGGTCCTGCAGACAGAGATAGATCCTGAAGCCAGAACGTGGAACCGCCTTGCGCTTCACCCTCCCTGAGTAGGGCAGCTTACCTGCACCGTTGGTCCATAGGTTTGCCCAGAAGGATGAATAAATCCCATGAAGGCTATAAACGGCTGAACCCTCCATGCTAAGCCTTACTCTGTAGCCAGCCAGGAGGAACCTGTAACCTAGAATAAAAATTGGTGAATTTAGAGAACTTATCCCCTTATCAAACTTTACAAAACCACATTGAAGCCTGCTAGCTAATATAGATTTCAACTGATTGTTATCAGTGATGCTGAGTGCTTTATTCCTAAGGACAACCAGAACCAAAACATTTCCTCCAAGTATTTCCACAGTAGATTACTCTGTTTTTCATCCATTGGCTGAGTATAGGTAATGGGTCAGCAGGGACTTAATGTGGTTTTGTATTTACATTCCTGTCTACAAATATATCATCGTTGTTCAGGTCATCAGTCTAAATAATTAATGATTTGGCAAAAGTATTGGAATTAGTTGAATGCAGGAGATTGTGACCCAGTTGTTCATATGTTCTGTTAGAAATGATTATATGTGCACAATCTAGTAAAATCATTGTTCATTATCATTATTTACCAATAATTTTAAACAAGCAAAAATGCAGTCCGGCTACTTTTTAACGCAAATAGCTTGCATGCAGCAAATCATTTGGCTATAACTGGATCCACACAACATGCAGACAGGGTCAGTTTGTTCAGTTACTGTTTGGCTAAGCTTTAGTGTGGCTTAGCTGTAGGATCTAAGCGATTTTTGAATGTTGCATGATTGTTGGTGCCAGACATGGTGGTTCCAGAATTTTGGAAACAGCCAGACTTTTCACTTACTATAGTGTCTAGAATTTACAGAGAAACAAAAATCATCCAGCCAATGGCAGTTCTAAGGGTGAAAATATCTTAATTAGATGTTAATTTATGAGAAAGGTCAGAGGAGAGTGCCCAGACTCTTTATAGCTAACAGGAAGGTCACAAGTGCAAAGATATCAGCCCAGTACGACAATGGTGTCCATGATGGCTTCTCTGAGTGCACATTTAATTTTCCCTTGGAGCAGTTCTATGGGCAAAAGTGGGTCCTACTCGGTACTAGCCTGTAGTACTTAATGAAGTAGCCTGTTTGGTCACACACAGTAGCTTTGATCCTTTTCTGATACTGTAAATGTTATGGCGGAATAGCTTTATCGGCAGCGTGTTTTGCATCTTGCAGACATCCATTATGCTCTGCGGGGACTGTAGAGGGTGTGTGTGTGTGTATTTTTATAAACTGCAACATCGATAAGCCAGTAACCCCTCACTATGATTACTCTTAATATCACTGGGCTGTCTCAGCCTGAGGGTGGGAATCGTGAGGCCGGCTAGCAGGGATGTCGTGGGAGGTGAAGGGACCTCCTCCCATCCTGCTGGCCACCTGACACCCCATTTCATTCCTGGGTGTGAAATGAGACCATTAAGCACCGCTGACACTGATCGAGGTCTCCTCATCAAGGCAACCTTCTCTCATGCTATGTTCACCAGGGAATGTCCACACTGAGGGAGACTTTTCTTTTTCAGGATTTATATTACAAGCAGTATAGAGCAGTTATTACTGAAGCTGAAAATGAAATGTATACCATCAGGATAAGTATTACAGCTTATATACCTTTGAGTAACTAATAATGAATACATTTATCCTGGTAAAAAATTAGGTAATGAAATTTCTGCTCATAATATTTTTAATCACTTGGAAGTGGTCAAGGTCAAACTTTTATCTATAGCACATTTAAAATATCCAAAGTTGACCGAAATGGTGAATTGGCAGATATGTAAATTTGGATGCATGTACAGCATTGAACTCCAGAACTTTTGCTTGTTCTGATATCTGTTCATAACTTGCCAAAATGTTTGGTCCTTCAAAGGGAAGCATCGGCTGAGCATGATGTGTTTCTGAAGTGTCTGTTCAGGGGAAAAGTAAGCAAGTGGAAAACTAGAATCACTGCTGAAAGTAACTTTTCAATTCAGCAGTGAGTGCACTGTGCAGGATCTATAATGAACCTAATGTGAAACGTGTCACAGTAAAATGTTTTAAATAATGTTTTCTCCTTTTTCTGGATAGTCGGCTGTTTTCAGGGGTGGACTGTTTTCGCCACATTATGGGACACATTGAGCTGTGCTACACACTGGTCAGATTTTTTCCTTTATATGTTGGTCATTCAGGGCATCCATGACAGGAAAACACTCGTCCCTGCTGGGCGAACAGTGTGTGTTTGCATAGTGTCTCCCATTCTTCTTCGGTTTGATATAATTTTAACTTTTACTTTCATAATTTATTTTTTTTGTCTTTCCCCAGAATATAATTTGTATCTTTTAACAATGTAAGCAATTTATCAATGTTGAAAAAATTGAAATAATTTTTGAGCTTACATTTACTTTCAGATCACTTATTTTCATTGCATTTTTTTGTGATGAAATGCATCATCAACTGCATTTTGATATTGATTATCACTGAAAAAGCTCCTTTTGAAAATAGCTTTTGATATTTGAAACATAAATGTCTTCAGTGACATGTTAATATCTCAATTGTCTGATTGTATTGCTGCAGGTAAAATTGGCCATATTTGCTAGCTTTTATATATGGAAAGGTAATGACAGGTCACTGAAGGCGTTTAACACTGATTTCATTTAGTTTGTGGAATTGTGAAGCCCTATTATGAACAGCAACCTAGTTTACAGAACAGAATTTTCTTTAGAAATCAGTAAATCATGTTCAGTTTATGCTTGGAGCAGTGAATAATTAGTTTGTATTTTTACATTTGGTACCATTTTGGCCTTACAGGAAGCATGGTGTTTGATCAGCATGACGCTTTTCGTTCTCTCCCCCAGCATGCAGCAGGTGCACTCCTTGCACACCCAAAGAATCTTTAATTAGCAAGGCAGCTCCATTAAAACAGAACTGCCCCTTGTCACGTACCACTGCTGCGTAGTTACAGTAAGGAGCCAGTGAGGCTTAATCTCTCTGAAACCTAAGAACAAGTGCATCCTTTTCGCTGTACCCTTTGTGTTCTCTTAGCTGCTTTAACAGGCAGCTGCTTGATTACCGCTAGTGCAACTCAGCTTTTCAGTCTGTGATCGGCTGCACGTTATTTCTGGAGTAGGTAGCGATGTTTTGGGAAGCTTCTTGCGGCATTTTTGCAGATGCTTTCATTTGTGTGTGACCGGCCTAAGCCGGTTCTGTCTGTTGGCCAAGCCCATTTTGTGTTGCAGTGATACTGTGTAAGGTGGAGGCAGTGAAGCTACTGTTGTCTCATTTCTGTAGATACTGGTTAAAAGAGAAGAGGTACAAATTAAAGCATCAGGTTAGTACAGGGGTGGGCAATCTTATCCGCAAAGGGCCGGTGTGTATGCAGATTGCCCACCCCTGGGTTAGTCCAACCTGCAGAAGATTAGTCTCATGCCACTTCATTAATTTTGCTTCATTCTGTGGCGAAACGACCCGAAAGAATGACTCGTAATCTAATTTTATTTGCCATAACATATTCCATTGAGAGCAGTAACTGTGATATAATATTAAAATTCATTAATTCATTTTTACATAATACGATATAGAATACAATGAAGTGCTGTACGTAATCTGCTATGATATTCCCAATTATGTTGAATTTACATTTATTTAGCAGAACGTTTTGTCCAAAATGACATTCAGGCTACTGCAGATATAGTGCACTACCTGCCAAAGAGCCTTAACACCAGTACATATCATTTCTACATTTCCTGCTTTTTTATTTTATCTGTGTGACTTTTCCAGTTTTTTTGGTCCCCTTCTCCACCGTAGCAGCATCCTGCCCGCATTCAGCAGTCTCATCATCAGTGAAGGGCTCGGTTCCACTCTCAGCCATAAATGCCTACTTTATGACATTTCCTTCCACATTTCACAGATGATGTGTGATGCTTTGGACCATAAACAGTTCCTTTTTCCCCCTAACACTGTCCATCACTCTTGTATAGGTCGTTCTTTATCTGGTCGTAAAAAGCTTACTGGGGTATTTTTAGTAAAATCTACCTTGAACAGTCTCTTTATCTGAGGCTTACCTAGTGTTTGGCTTTTGTAGTGCAGTCCTCTGTTTTGCAGCGGCAGGCTCATCAAAAGTAAACCCTGCCTTAGAAATACCAACATAAAATTAACTTAATGAACTGTTCTTGTGAATATTTGAAACAAGCTGTATGGTAGTTTGGCAGTGAGTGGTTCAGCAGATAGTCGTGTGACATCATGGTTGTGTGGTAATTCCTCGGTGTGGGGTGGGGGATTTGCATCACCTATGTTTGCATGGGATTCCTGCCACTGAAAAAGTGTGCAGTTATGTTTTGTATTTATTAGGTAAGTTGGTGCCCCTGTACTGCCTAGTCTGTCTGATTATCTGGTGGTGTCTGCATTCTGCAATGCACTGACTTCCCTTCCAGGGTCTTTCTGCTTTACTCTATGGGCTTCCTAGTGAATGTCCCAGACTTGCCAGGACCTTGATACTGCATTGGATACATTCATTGGACCTTGATACATTCATTGGTTGGATGACCTGAGTATATGGACACTATACACCTACTTTTGTTTAATAAGCAGAGCCATAACATAACCATCTAGCTGTTTGCTCTACACAGACGCACATTCCTTAATGACCTCTGTTTTGGTGATGTTAACTTGCCGATTATCTTCTTCTTTTTTAGAAAAGAAGCATCAACAGCAGCCTTTGAAATTATTTTAGATGTTAACTATTAAAAATGTACTGTTTGGACACATTACTCCACGTACAGAGGAGTGTGTTCGTTTAAGTGAATCATCCCCATCCTAACTCTCACCTGCGCTGCCACATTTGGTGGGTATTGTCACAGCTCAGCCTGTCACATGCTTGACAATGGAGTATAACCTTATTATCTGCTGATTGGCCTGATTCCATTCGGCACTGTTCCTCCAAAGCTTTTTACCGTTTAACTGGGAGCCTTTATTGCTTTAACTCATTAGCTTAGTTGATGTTTTGTCAATATTAATTCTTTCCTTTAGGCAAAGTTAAGTCTTAAACAAAGATGTCTGTGCTGAGAAACTGACCAAGTCACCCTACCTAGACCAGCCCCCTCCAAGGACTGTGTAAAAATGCACTCATCACTGCAGTTCCCCATTTGTATTACATTCACAGAAAGAAATATTCTTAAGGAACACACTCCATGTGAGAATACAGACATTTCACAGACTTGCTAAACTTTAAAGCATTTTTACATTTTTCTTTTATCCTAACTTTTCACGATGGGTTTTCACTGTTTTAGTACAGTTATTAAAGTTTCCCGTTTCTGTATATTATGTAGGTGTATAAATGGTTTTGATTAAAATACAAATAAAATACAAATATCAGAACGCAAAACATGCACAAATCTTTCTAAAGGCAGGAGTAAAATTAAATATTTTGGGGTAAGCTTTTTATTAATGTTGTACAATGATTTCAGAAGTCCTTGTTGACCTACTTGTTGCACTGTTCAGATTTTCAGTTGAGTCAAGTACTTTTCTTTGTAATTCTTGAACCAGCAAATGAATGAGTGAACTAAGGAATGAGTGAACAAACAAAGAAGCAAACTGAAGAGCAAATGAACAAAGTCCTGCATGTGTATTTGTTCATTTCCCTACAGGCAAAGCTCTAACATTCCTGCTGCTGCAGCCCCCCAGCCCCAAGCTGCCTCCCTACAGCACCATCCGCCGCACAGCCATAGACTTGATCGGCCGCGGTTTCACGGTGTGGGAACCATACATGGACGTGTCTGCGGTGCTCATGGGCCTCCTGGAGCTGTGCGCCGACGCGGAGAAGCAGCTGTCCAAGTGAGTCACCCACTAATCCTAACCTTTGGTAGCTTGTAGCCGCGAGATAAGTGTGTGAACATATACGCGTTGTAAGAATTTGCAATAAAGCAGGGTTTGTCATCTGACTTCACCCCCCTCTCCAGTATATTTGTTTTCCCTGCTATGGCCAGGCAGCACCAATTGATTGTGCTTACATAATTATATAAGGCAGATAATGTTACCTTCAGGTGAAATTAAGTCAAATTAATCTAATTAGATGAGTCTGCAACTGCAGTCATCCTGCAAAATCAGTTTGTTTTTTGTTTTTTTATCAGTAACGGTTTAATGATAATGATTCTAAAATATGTTAGTATATGCTACCAATTAGCAGTATATTACACTAAAATATTACATGCTATATATAGTATGTGCCGTTGATTTCGTTTTTTGAATTTATCTGTCAACATGCCCTGTGAAGGCTGCTGTCTGATGGTCTCAGTGATGAAACTCAAGGCCTAATGTGATTCTAGAGCATTTATATCATGTAATGATGTCTGGCTTTGCTGTACGTCTTGGCAATTTTGAAGTGCAAACGAGACACATCACTCTCTCGGCTAACCTTCAAGAAGCAACCGCAAAAATAAGGTTACTTTGGACTGCCAAGACAGTCGGTGAAAAACGCGGCCAATCTGACCCAGTCATTAACATGAAATCCTATCTGAACAAATTTATTATGAGTACAAATATGTCTGGCTTTCAGTGTAGCATGTGCTAATTATGTTTAGTATTTAATGGTGGTAATTTGTCAGAGGTAATTATTGTAAAGAATAGTTGGAAGGGAAACCTACGAGTAACCTTAGTGCGTCTTAACGAAATAAAGCAAATGAGGCCGAGACTGATGTCCGGGAAGCTAGTCTGACATACCTTTCCATCTGCTCTTACATCCCCACATGATGTATCTGTGTCATCTCCCACTGGCCTTGTCAGACATTTTGTTGATGTATTTCATCGATGAATCCAGGTTTAAATAATGATTTTAAGTGTCTCTGATATTGATGCCTGTGTTTCTATTTTAATAGTGTTTCAAGTGAATTTGGATTCACACTTTTTTTTTTGCCTTCTGAACATATAAGGCACTGTAGTACATAGGCATACAGTCAAACCTCGGATTGCGAGTAACTTGGTTTGCGAGTATTTTGCAAGACGAGCGAAATTCTTAAATAAATTTTAACTTGATAAACAAGCGAGGTCTTGCAATATGAGTATTACATATACGCTTTGTTTGCCTAGTGTCACGTAATCACAACTGAGCCGATGGTTCTCTCTCTCTCTCTCTCTCTGTCTCTCGCTCCCTCTGCGGGATTGTGGGTAATCGTTTCCCATGCTTGATCTCAGTCGGCGTCCCTCAGTCGTATAGTCAAAATATAGTAGAAAAGCACCACCCGAATAGGGGCGTAGCAGTGCAAGCGATGAATCTGTTTAATGACAATACAATGTCCACATTTCCACGAAATTGAAAAGGACGCAAAAGCAGCTGTTATTGGATAGGTTCCTTATTAAAGTCGCACAAACAGAAAAAGATTCCAGTGAGCCAACAGATAGCAGTTATTCCGTTAGTTGTAGTGAAAGTTGTCCTACAAAATAACCCTCCTCTTCTCCTCTGTCTCATCTCCCTCACTCCATCCACAATTCTTTTCAAAGGTAAATTGCAGGTTAATTTGTTTTATGTATTTTTACTTTATATTTTGTATAAATAATTTTTTAATTAATATTTTTGGGTTGTGGAAAATTCACTTTGATATACGAGTGCTTTGAATTACGAGCGCATTTCCGGAACGAATTATGCTCGCAATCCGAGGTTTTACTGTACTTCCAATATTATTATAGCGATACAGACCTTGCTGCTTAAGGTGCTTTGTGGCAAGGAAACTAGGAAATAAGCCAACACATTAGACCGCATTAAGGACAAAATACCTGTGTAATGTATTGTTGATAAATTCATATCAGTCTTGATTATGACTGTTTCACATCATTGATTTTATGTAAGAGAATAAGTGCATGGACTGTTATGGGCATGTGGTTGTGGGAATGGGTGACACCATATATGAGTGTATTAAGTTCATCTAGGACAGCTTTCAGTTTCTCTCTCTCATTAAAGAGAAGCATAACTGGAACTTTGCCGTCTCTTATGCTTCTCTATATACTCAGAATTCTCTTCATTGAATGATTAATTAGCCTTGTTAAGATTGAACAGGACATGGGAGCGGAGTAACAGGAATATATTGGGTAGTTGACAGTCTCTTCCATGGACGCTGAACAGGGTTAGTTGACTGGCTAGTATAGTTTAGCATTTATTAAGAAAATTTCTAATTATAAATTATCCAACAATGTTTATGGAGGAAAATGGATGTGACCACAAAACAATCAGAGATTTTTTTTTTAGTGGTAAATGCAAAGAAAGGTAAATGTTTTAGGTCATTTTTAGACATACATGTGGGGCAGGCAGGACATTACAAACATACCCAGTTGATTCCTTGACAGCATGTACACGTGCAGCTAGGCTGAGCTTCCAGTGAAAGCGCAGGTACAAGTGTGAGCAGTATTCGAGCAGGAGCTACACAACATCTCCCAAACAAAGCAAGAACCTAATAAGACAATTATTCAGATCAGCAAAAGCACAATATGAAGAACATTCAGGGAGCATGGAGTGGCGGAGGCTAGTACAGGTATTCCTGGAACTGATGCATTTTCTCTAAGGTGTTGGGAATCTGATGACGATAATACTGGTATAGCACTTCAGCGGTGATCATACAATGCAGACACTGTTAGAACACTTTTGTAAAGGAATCATTACAATGTAGTCCAGATGTCCATCCTCCAATAGCTGAGATTTCTATCGCTCTGAAGAAGTGCAGAATACCACTAGTATTCTGCTGGCTAATAGTGAAATGTCTTCCATGGTGTAGTGAAGCAATGGTGTATGTATAATTGTCCATTCCTCCTTATAACTCTTCCAACTGCTTCATAATGGATTTGCTTTTCACAGAAGTCCACAGGTTGGATGATCAGCTTTTCTCTGTAGACACTGTACTGTTACTCTTGCCATCTGCTTTGGGTCATTATTATGCTGAAAGGTAAACTTACTGAAAGAAAACCTACAGAAGAATCTATCCTCACAAGTGCTCCGGTGTTGGAAGATAAAAGACCCATAAACACACATGCCTCTGTCGCACATGCATGGGGGGTGTTTGACTGATGTGCCATGAGCTGTGTTTGCTGGGCATAATTCAAAATGTAATTGGCTTTATCAGGCCGCAAACCCCTTTTCCAAATGGCTGCAGAATCCCCTCGAGTGTCGTTTCGCCTGCCTTAAGCGAGCTTCAGTGTGGCTTTCTTTGAGTCAGGGTTTTTTTTTTTTAAGCAGCCTCTCCCAGTTCCCAGATTTGTAGCTCTGTGTATCATTGAAACATGTACAAATTGAAAATTTTGCCACATACTCAGTTAAGGTAAAACTGGTACAAAGTGCGCCTTTATCTGGCCATTTTGCATCATAGATATGCATATATAAATGTATCAATTCCTCACATCTTTTGGTAGGTTTGTATTATACTTTGACTATATTCATCCATACCACTGATATTTTAAAAACTGCATGGACTGTATGTGTACCTGCAGTTGTAGCAAACTGTGCAGTTCTGATACAGTATATGGTTGTTTTTAGTGTAGCATCAGTAGAGTTTGCATTGGCCTTGACAAAACTGGATGCCTAAATTGCATCACTATGCTGATGTGCTGTTGCTTTGCTTTGGTGGCATGTCAAAATTTTCTTCCCGAACATAGCTTACTCACAAAGGCACAATACTGGCCCTTCCAGTGGATCGCCCGGCACGTATTCCTCCTGCCCATGTGTAATTTGTTAACGAGCGTTTTTTTTTGTTTTTTTTTTCGATCTTGGACAGATGGACAAACTGCTTTCAATTTCCACGCTTGATTGTTGAACGCTCGTTGTCAGTGGGCCATCCAAGCCCCAAATTGTCCCGCATTACTGGGAGTCCATTATTCTGTACCCATCTGAGTGATCCCATTGACGGTGGGCTCATATTAAATCTGTGTCGAATCCTTTCACTCTTGTTTTTTTTTTTTTTTTTAACGTTTTCTTTCTCCTTCTCCTGTTTAGCATCACAATGGGCCTGCCCCTCAGTCCTGCCGCCGATTCGGCACGCTCCGCCCGCCACGCTCTCTCACTCATCGCCACCGCAAGACCACCAGCTTTCATAACAACCATCGCCAGGGAGGTGAGCCCCCCCATCCCTGGACGGTCCCCTCTTCACTTGCCTGGAAGGGCCCCATCGGCTCTTGTGTACCCCCCAAGATGCAGCCTTTATAGTCTTTTCCTCGCATATATATATAAAATAGAGGCTGCAGAACAGGGCAAATCGCTCTATCAGCTTTTGAAGCAGACCTCCGTAGATGGAATCAACTAAGCATCGTGTTTCATCTCCAGTTTTATTTGTCAAACACAAATATACACTGGACATCTGTGCAGTGAAATGCTTTTCCATCTGCTTCCAAGATTGTGCTCAATAAAATGCGCAATACAAAGGAAAAAATATAAGATTAAATAAGACAAAAATAATAAAGATAAAATAAGACTGCAAAATAAGACAAATTGAGCACAATTATACCAGTAGTTGTAAAATGAAGATGTACAATTAAAGTGTAGGATAGTATATAGTAGTGTGGTTGGCTGTAGGGGTCCTTGCTCAGTGTGTGATTTAGCTAAATGAACACACTGATAAACAGACAAGCAGTTTGTACATTTTCATGTATAGATGGATAGGTGTATGCATGTGGAAACATTGAAGGGGAAATATTACGGCTTAGAAAGAAAAACAAAAATCCTTTTATTTGGCATTATGATACTGATTATTCCGTTTTCATATGATGTCCGCGTGTATCCCACAGGTCCACAGGCACACAGCCCTGCAGGCCAACACTCAGTCCCAGCAGAATGTCCACACCACCACGCTGGCACGAGGCAAGACCGAGATCCTGCGCGTCCTGGATATTCTCATTGAGAAGATGCCCACGGACATCGTGGACCTTTTGGTGGAGGTAAGGCTGCTATAATTCACACTTTCCTGCACAGATATAGCCACAGATTTCCTCAGTGATATGTAATTCAATTTTGGGGTCTTCCCGACCAAACGTGGTAGCACCAAGAGCATCTGGACTAAATGATCCTGTGTACACATGACTTTATCAGCCATTTTGTTTATAAACATGTACTTTCATTATTTAGTGTGTTGTTGATTTGCGGAGAAAGCTGCACTGAGGTCAGTGTTCATGCTTCTCTGATAGATTTGCTTTAATGACCCTTGCTTTACCTTTCAAGGTAATGGATATTATCATGTATTGCATCGAAGGATCTCTTGTCAAGAAGAAAGGTCTGCAGGAATGCTTCCCCGCCATTTGTCGGTAAGTCTTCCACAGCAGACTTCTGCTCACAGCAAACTTCATTACAACTTCTGGCAGGTTTACTATCCAAATTATACATGTGTTAATATATGTTAACTTCATTATGAAAGAGGCGTGGACATATTTACAAAGTTTTTTTTTTTTTGACACATTTAACAATGTTTAAGTCCAAGTGTCTAAGCTTGGGAGGTATCTAATTTTTTACTGTATAGACATTGTACCATAATATACAGGCACTCCTCTGCTTGCAAACGAGATACGTTCCGAACAGCTGTTCGCAACTTGAAACATTCATAAGTTGTTATTCAACATCATTTTAAGGGTATTCGCAAGTACTAAGAACTAGGATGCTGGGATTACGCACGCTATGCTGCTTCGTGGCGGGAGTAGCGGCCAGAAGTCATACTAGGCGGAATTAGCGCACAGAAAAAAAAATGACAGGAAACGGGAGCCCAATGAACACAATTTGGACCTCTTTGTTTGTATGTCTGAAAGTTCGTAAGTAGAGGAGCATCTGTACAGTATTATGATGGTGTATTCAAAAGCAGTGAGCAGGGGGGAAAGTTGCTGGAAGACAATGCTGTGGTATTTCCAAAAAATTCATAGTATACCATATTACTGTAATACCAGCCAGGCTTAGTGCAAGTTAATGAGAGATGTGTTCTTATGTTATGTCAGCTTACATGTTTGAATTGTTGTAGCCTATCCAGTGGGATTGTGTGAGTAAATGGCCAAATTTTGTCACACAGGTTCTACATGGTGGGTTACTGTGACCGCAGTCACAGAATTGCAGTGGGGGCGCGGCAGGGATCGGTGGCTCTCTATGACGTCCGCACGGGAAAGTGTCAGGTATGTGTTGCTCAACACGATGTAGGAATTTCCCTCTGCAGACCTTTGATGGGACAGGTCTTCAGTTACTGATGATTATTCAGTTATCACTATAGTACAAAAAATCTCAGTGCGATTTGGTGTTTTTAAAATGAGAAATATGTTTGTATGTTTGCAAAATGGCAGTTGCAAATTAATACTAATATTTATTTTTCTTCAAACCCCGGGTTAGTGTTTGTTATTAAGCTGTGGTGTTGGGGGCCTTTAGTGTGGAAACACAGATTAATCCAAAGTAGCAGATCATTTAAGTATGTAACTGCTGTGCATTTAACATGAATCACCAATGCATCACCAGTGATTTCATTGTCATATGGGTTGTCTTGTTGATTCTTTTAGAGAGTTTAGGAATTCATATACACCTCCTTTTACATCACCCAAACACTATATTCTCTTCTGATATAAGATGTTACTGGTTATTTTCAAAGTTATTCATGGCTGCCTGGACACCTACTGTATATTTTTACAGCCTTCGCAGCTTGACCCTATTCTTGTGTGGTAAATAACACATGGCATATGAGTTTATTGCATTGCAGGGTTGATGTAGCTCTTTGTTGCTGCACACCAGCCCTCCGCTCTCCTCCCTTACAAAGAGTCAGAATATTTACACTCTCTGGGTCTGCCAGCCATGCAGGCCGAATTCCTGCAGGGATGAAAGGCGACAGAAGGGAGGCAGAGTACCTGACCTCCTGGGGACATGAGAAAGAGGGAGAGAGAGAAGCAGCTTCACAGGATGATCTGGGGGGTGGGGTGGCACCCCATCCGCTCCTTATAATAAATGTTTAGGAATGAAACACAGGTGACTGTATTTGGGAGTGGAGACCGGTTTATCAAAAAGGACAGGAATGAAAACGGAGCAGCATACGGAGACTCACAGGAATATAAAACATTGGCCAGTGGGTCTTAAGGCGGCCAACCAGAGTGCAGGATCAAGCCTAGATGACGACCATGATAATAAGCAATAACAATAATACAGGAGGCTTATATAGCACTTTTCAAAAGCCCACCATCAGTTAGGGGTTAACACCTGACCTTTGCCCACCTGGGGGTGTTCATGTGCCCCCCCCCATCTTTGAGGCGTTTGGTAGATATTTTTTAGATATGGTTTGGTAATACAGCTTTCAAGGGCTCTCATCTTCACTCTATATCAACTAAAATGCAAAATTGAATGTCTGGAGGTGGGGTTTCATAGGTGTGGAAGCGTAAAGGTCGCGCTGGCATCTCAGAGGACTACTGTGTGTGTGTGTGTGTGTGTGTGTGTGTGTGTGTGTGTGTGTATATATATATATATATATATATATATATAACTGGAAGGCTATTTATGTTATGGAAACAAACATACTGGACATGTTGAAAAATGAACATGTCCACTGGGTTTCTCTTTCTTTTCTGCAGTTAGCTGTACATTGCACTCAGCCATTATAAATAGAGCTACATATAGGTCACAGCTGTGCAGTGAGGTATAGTGTTAACTGTAGGTGAGCTATTCTCATAGCATCACATAAAATTAGCTAGTGCAGGGCCCTTCCAGGCCTTCCTGCTCTGGTCAGTGAGCCGCAGAACCTCTACTTGAAGAGTTTTGGGCCTCGGGTTAGTCTATTCACAACAGTGATCCATATTGACAGCTGGAGTTTTATAGTTAGATTTGTGTGTTCCTTTGTATGCATTTTGTTCCTCATTCTGAAACAGCTGTAAAGTAGCCCCGTATTAAACAAACATTTGTCTAGCTTCCCACTTAATTTCATTGTTACAGTTGGGTATGGTGGTGATTATTCAAGAACCTCTAAACGAACAGAGGTTGAATTTCAAGCAGTCAAAAGTGTGCACCTGGGTGGAATACAGGAATCTAAAAACTATGGAAAATGCTGAAATGAAAGAACAGGGTTTTTATATTGAGCAATGTACATCTGTCTAATAAGATAAAACAAATATTGTCAAGGTTAAGAGACTGTATTACATATTGCGTTATTGATCACTGTATTGCCAGTGATCTGCTGTATTTCTTTGACCTGTCATTGGCACTGTGACACATAGAGACCTGCAGAAGTCTTTCATGATATGCTCCTGACATATCTTAACTTTTTAGGTCTAGTCCACTAGTAGTCCGGATGCATACATCCGAATTTTAACTAACGGGGGAAAACAACATTCAGTAAATCAAACTAATGTCTTAATCAACTAAAAACAAGTTGTTACACTTCACAAACCATTTAAGCAAGATTTCTAGAAAGTTTAGCATTTTTATGTACCGCCGTTTTTTTGTAATAAGTGAAAATATAATTACCATGACGACCATATTTACGGGACTCGAGTGACCGGAAGTTAATTAAGTGTTAATAAAATTACACGTAAGCACTTCAAAGTCTTTCTTTCACCATCAAATCATGAACTATAACAGTATCAAGATAAAATAAGTCTTTTCCCATAAAATTGTTCGTCAAGCTTCCAATCGGCTTGCTCACTCGTCACAGAAAAAAGTAAGCCGATATCTGTAGACACCCGCTGTATCATTCATCCCGGAGTTTTCTAACAAAACCCTTGAATAAAATGGCAAACTTTCCCTCGTTTGAAAGCTTGATCTGTTACGTACATAAATGAATAACTGTTATTCTTCACTCTCAAGCAGTTCTTGAATATATGCTCTGATTACTTGCTAGCATAGCATTCTTGGCAGTTGGAACGTTTGTCCCATGATTGTGATTCCCCGTAATTAACTATTTGAGTGACAACTATTTCATCCAATAAGCCGCATCTAAAACTTTTCAAAATGGTAATGGAGTGTGATGATTGGACATTATACCGACATTTATTTTCTCTGGGCACAAAAGTGGAAAGGGTACGTATTTTCGGTACGCTATTACACTTTTTCTTTTGGTAAGTTTCATTAAGTGTTTTTTGGAGATTTGAACAATGATCTTTAGTTTTTGTGTGCCTGTTAGACATACCTATTAGACGAATCGGTATCGGCCATATGTGACTGATCTAAGTCCGATACTTACTTATTTAGTTTTCGGCTGATACTTCGCTATAATGAAGTACTCGATCATGAAATCGCCATAAATATAGCTTTCTAAAGGAATAGGGTATGATATATAGAGGTCTTTCTCAGCTGAAGTGTGTGAAGAGAGGAGCAGAACCCATATAAGTACTACTGAATAATACCATCTAATCATTTGTGGTTTAACAAAGCCGTCTAATAACTGAACTGGCTGTGCGTTTTTGTCATTCCAGGTTTAGACTGATAGTCCTCTGTTGGTTCAGTGAACAAAGCAAGGATATCTTGTGTTTGTTTTTCTTTTTCACAAACAGACTTTAACTGTTTTGCACATACTGCCAATTAAAGCATCAGAAAGTGTCAAGCAAAAGAAAACAACCTCATTCTATAAAACGTAGCACACTGGACATGTATTGTTTTACTCAGCATGACAAAAGCATACCGTGTGCCGCCTTGTCTCCCTCTGTCTTCCAGTCACACCATTTATACTTTATTACACTTCTAATGCCATTCCTGTAATTCCTTGTCTGATCCATAGACAAACATGTGCTTAATATACCCTTACAAACATAACCAACACAACAGACTGCATTATAAGAGAAAACGCACCTGAAACAAAGCATTTTCCTGAATCTCTGGAAGTGCATGGCCTGTGTCCAGCAGACAACTGTGGATAAAATAAAAAGGTGAAATTTTGGGTTTGTTTCTGTAGTATTGATGGTGTATTGTGGTAAATGGGAGAGGGTCAGTGTCCTTTCCTTGGCCGTATTGATTTGCCCTTCAGCTGCTGCCGCTGAGCTGTGAGGCGTTGGGCTCTGCTGCTGATAATCTACACAATGTCTCAGTGAACATTATTGACTGGCTCGAAACTACTGCCTTTGGCTCTCCGTTTTTCACCCCGTCGCCATGACGATTGTAATAAAACACAGGATTGTCCTGCAGACGAAACTCCTTGGCTCACCTTGTGTGTGGGCCCCCTAAAAGACCTGGGAAAATAACAGGGATAATTGAATAAAAAATAAACCACAAAATGCTGGTAATATTTAGCATTAACACTAGATTTGTTATACATTTTCTATATTAACAATAGGTCATTAATATAATGTGTGTAGCTCAGTTCTAAAGCTTGTTGTTGAAGACACCGTTTGTTTTGTAGGTGATAGAGACAAGAGGTACTTTCTGTCTTCATTTTGTTTGTTGCTGTTGCTACTGGTAACAGTATAAAATGTGATGCTGCCATTGGGGGGGAAAAAAACAATCATAATGAAATCGAAACTTGTCAGCAGAATGTGTCTCTGTAATCCAGTACCATGTGTTGCTCTTGGACTCACGAGTCGGTCCAGTCCCTTGTTTTTGGCTGTACATGTGTTTATTCTTTAACTTTAGGGTACTACTAGATTTTGTACTTTCTTTCTTTTTGTTATAACACTATATGCTTTCATGTTATGAAGAATTATACTGTTGTAGTGTGTCATAGAATATGATATCAATTTATAACAGTAATAAGTAGCTGCTAATTATATTGCTCATGTACTGTCAGAAGATCTCACATCTGCATCTTTGTGTAGAAAAAAATACATAGATGTGCCATTTGTCATATTTTTTATTATAATAGCAATGTGCTTTTTATTAGAAAACTGAAATTTTGTTACTGTTTGTTATTCAGTCACCTGATCATCTTATCACAAATGTATATACAGTATACACTTATACAGATAAGATGAACTTTATTGATCCGTGTGTGTGTGTGTGTGTGTGTGTGTGTGTGTCGGGGTGTGTGTGTGTGAGAGAGAGAGTGAGTTTGTGCCTACTTGTGTGTATATCCAGGATTTAGCTGAAAACATGCCCCCTGCTACCAAAAGGTACATCCTCCCACATCTCATTGACTTTGCACATGAGCCCATCCGCAGATCCCTGCAGTGATCCTGACAAAGACAAAATGAGGCATTTCAATGTTCTGCAGTCCAAAAATGCATAGTCACTGGTAACAGCAGGATGAGAATTACTCATTTAAATTTTACAGTTTTTGTTTTAAAGTCAATTTGGATATTTCTTTTCTGTGAGGGTTTATGGGAAAGGGTAAATCTCCATATTCAAAATGTGGAGATTTTCTCAAAATTCCAGCCTAACAACCTGTCTGCCACAATCAAATGCAGTTCAGTAACTGCCACACCGTATGAAACACATACAGGACACATCGCACTTTAGATAAAATAAGACTTAAGCTTGTTGATGGACTGATGAGACACACTGAATGGGAAAATGGCTCCCACAATCCTCTGCTCTATCTGTCTTGTAACCATGGCTGTAATGGAATATAGCCAGTAACAAGGTAAAGTATTCCCACTAATTAGTTCACTGTTTTAGGGTCCAGACATTTCACACTCCAGAAAGACGCTTGAAAATATCCTTCATTTCAGTTTTTGTGTTGACAGTGTGCTTCTTCTGATGGGGTTTTTACTAGAATGACTCTGCCTGTGAATGAGGCCTTCGCTGTTACTAGATACTTATGGAAATACGGCGGGCATGATTTTTTTTTGGTTTGAGTTGATTTTTAAAAAAACATGTCAGTAAGATCAGAGTTGATGTAAACTTGTCGTTTGTTTTTCGTTCACAAAGACTATCGCTGGACACAAGGGACCCATCACAGCCGTGTCATTTGCTCCTGATGGCCGCTACCTGGCCACCTACTCCAATGCAGACAGTCACATCTCTTTTTGGCAGGTAAGCAAAGACAGTTCATTCTGTTTATAATACTTTTCTGGATGTTTTCCGTTTGCATTTTCCATGTACAAAAGGCAGCTTGGATCTGGCTTAGCTTCTGTTTTCCTCTCCATTAGTACATTTACAGTAACAGTTTTCCAGGAAACTGTGACATAAGACCATAAGAGTTTTAATTTGCACTGATGCTGTAACTGAGAATGTATTATTATTATTATTATTTTGGCGTATTTCAGTGTGGTGTTGTGTGATGTTTTGCATTTGAAACTAGGAAGAGGTTATTTTCTTTAGATACAACCCCCTAAATCCTGTCCTTTTTGTGTTCCTTAAGGAAAAGAAACCCTGCAAACACTACAGAAGCAGCCGTTGTTCAAATTCTCTTTTATCCAGTATTCTTTATCAGGCTGACTTCAGGTTCTGTAGATAGTTTAACATTAAAGTCAACTCTGCCTACTACTGATTGGAAGTAGCTGCTGCATAGGGAAAACCACATGTTATACTGCTTAAATTAAAGGAACCTTTCAATGCCTTTCCACTGCTTGCTTTCCTGAGAAATGGGCCGAATAATTAGATTAATTTATTCATGATAAATAGATGAGTTAACCCCGTGACCCCTGGTGACCCTACTCCCCCTACTCTCTGGTCTCCCCACAGATGAACACCTCTTTGTTAGGCAGCATTGGTATGCTCAATTCTGCCCCCCAGCTTCGTTGTATCAAGACGTATCAGGTCCCACCAGTGCAGCCACCGTCGCCGGGCTCCCAGAATGCCCTTAAGCTGGCCCGCCTCATTTGGACCTCGAACCGCAACGTTATCCTCATGGCGCACGATGGCAAGGAGCACCGCTTCATGGTCTGAGTAGAGCTGAACCCCCCCCCTGGGAGGACGGTCGTCCCTCGTTGGGGCAAAAGTAAACGAAAGCTGTGCATTTGCTGTTTACATGTCTGTTCCCTTCGATTGATTCTCAGTTTGTTGTTATTTAATGAAAAGCAAATTTCTGTGTAGTTCGTGTAAAAACCTGGATTGCTAGTTTGCGTATGACGTTATCCCGTGTGTGATTTTGAAGTCAACCAATGGTGTGTGTTGTACCCTTTTATATGCTTGTGAGACATGCTTTTATTGGTCACCTGAATTTACAGAAATGAAGGATGGGCCAATTAAAACAATTTCAGCTTGATTTTCACCAACCCTGTGGAAGAATTTGCTTGAAGATACACATGACTTTTCATAGATCTCAGGCTCTTGGCAGTGTTCCTGCATCCCATGCCAGTGCTAGTTCAGAAAAAAGTCCTCCATAAGCCCTAGCACAAAATCATATCAAAATAAAAGTTGTTATGGATGCTTCCTTGTTATTCTTTACTATATTTGTATAGTTGCTTTTCATTGGCTACAGAGTAAACTATTGTAACTGGCAACAAGGTACTGTAAATGTGTAAATCACCATCCTGACCTCGGAAAAGGCTACATTTACTAAAACAAATGGCTTGACAGGACTGAACAGAGATATTTATGTCTACATGTAGATAATAGGTTAGAGTAAAATACAAAATATATTTTAAAGAGTTGTTTCATATATAATTATTTTTATGGTTACACCGCTCTGACCACCTGGTCCATCCAAATTTACTTTTGATGGGCATTCATGAAGTCTTGCTGTTTGCTGCTTATTTGGCTATTGGATTTTATATTAAGACCTTTTTGCAGATGGTAATACAAACACCTCTACTGTTGCAAAATGTCTGGTTTGTTAAACGATTGTTTTGCCATTGTCAGCTGACCATGGTGGATTCCAGCGATTTCATGTAAATGGTTTCCCGTTTAGTGTCATAAGGTCTGCGTATATCCATGTTGCAGACTTGAGATCTCCTAACTGAAGCAGACCAGGGAGGAATTTGAACTCCTTGCCCCTCTTGATCAAATAGGGAGGGACTGCTTGTTTTGGCAGCCCAAGGACAAACATTGCATTCCCCATTAACACCACTTAAGCTACGAGCTTTGGTTTACCTGCATAATTCCAGTCTGCAAATACATCTCTTTGAGCTCCAGATACATTCCCTGCTGCCTCCTCTCAGGCTGTAACATCTCCACTGTTTGACTCAAATCAGTATTTTAACTGTGCTGTGGGGGTGATACAAGGTCTATGACCAGCTTTTGCAGTGTCCAATGTTAAATTGAAGAAAGGATGTAATTCTGCAGCCCACTGTCTGATAAATTCCTTCACACTTGGACTCGGCAGCTTCTCTGCATTTACATTCTTGATTCGTTCATTATCACTCTAACTTTAACTTCCTGTATAGGTCACTATTCCTAATAAAATGCAATCGCCTATTTGTATAGCCTCATGAATATCCGCTAATACCAGTACAATGAATTTCAGCTGTAGCCATGGATGGTGATCTCTGCTGTACTTGAAAACTGTGTGTAACGCTCTGTATATCTGTGCCACCATTAAATTAAAAAATAATATATATATATTGAATATAGCTGTGCTGTAAAAACTTAAGAATTGTTGTGACTGTGTTCAATAAAGATAAGATGTAAACCACTTTCTGGGTGTCATGTATATAATGTAATGCTTTATAAAGCAAATCGACGAGCCTATGAAATAGCTTGTCACCTTTAATTTAGCAAAAAAAAATTACTTTAATATTAGGCCTATGGTGGGAATATTATTACAGATATGGTACATGGTCATTAATAATATAGAGTAATTCATAATGCTTAAGTAATTCTTAGATCTCTAGATTTTACATAATCTATATTCCAGTCAAGCTCACTGCCTAAAATTACCCTTCTGTCCACCCGAGTATCATTTTTTACCTGAACCAATGGTCTCCACCTTTCACTGGATGAGAGGACACATGAGGGCAAGACACTGTGGAGGACGTGAGGCTAAAACTAAGGCAGAGCTAGCCGCTGCTAAATGCACTCTCACCTCTAACCCCTGTTCCTCTCTGCTGTCGCAGGCAAAATCAATAGTGCTAAGTCAGAAGGGAAATCATTCTGGGCCCTAACAAGAGCGTGTGCTTTGACAAGGCCAGGCTGAAATACACACCAAAGGAGAGAGGAGACAGGCGGAATCATTCATAGGGGCTGGCAGTTCAAGGTGTCTCCCTACATCATAGGTCAGGATGACGGGGAGGAGAGGGACACTCAATAAGGGCAAATACCGAAGGTCAATTTACAACGGAAGTCGCTATTCCAAAGGCAGGATGTATTCTCAAGCAAGTTAACACATCAAATAAAACGAAACATCAACGTTAAGTCAAATAATGCTCAGTATACTACCAGCATTTTTGTTTTCCCGTAATAAAAAACCTGTGCAGGAATTTCATTGCCATTATTTGAGAAGTTCTTTGGCCTTCTTTCTCGATAGGTTACATATTTAGTGCATAGAATGGGTTTCTTCAAAGACACAATCATTTTGCATTGTAGTTTGTTGCTTTTTAGTCTTGTGAATATGATCCTATTCTCTGGAGCAGTTGGTGTGGTTTACCCTGGTTTCCTATATTGACGGGTGGTGGTGAGCAGTACATGTGTACTTTGTGGTGATTATGGATTTGTGTGATGAAGAGGTGAGGTCTGGCCTCACCTAACCCACAGGGTCCTGTGCTTCCCACCACACAATAACACAGCACTGGTAGTAGAGTGGGAGGTAGTTAACGGGGATAAAATATGAATTTCTGTAAAATACTGAGCCGCGTGTTTGTCTGGTCATTCCCTAATCACTGACCCTATGGTTCAGGGGCTGCACCTTTCGAAGGACCCGGACCACAAAAGTGTTGCCTTTGTAGGCTGCGTCCTTCAAAGGTTGAACAGACAGCGCTGTCAAATGGGACGGTCTGGCCCACGGATAATTTCCTGTTTGTGTCACCAGCTGTTCCCACCCCATTGCCTAGACAAGACACACCCAGTTTACCTCTGCGCTATGAATCATGGGATATGTTGGGCTACGAAGGATCCATTGGATGGATCCTTTGTGATTCGGCAAAAGAAGGATGCATTTCTAGACCTCATTTGAAGGAGCCTGTGAAATGGGACGGCCTTGTCGCACCGCTGTGACACGTTTGAAGGAGCTTTGATATGGGACGGCCTTGTTGCACCGCTGTGATGCGTTTTAGTCTTCAAATGCAGCCTTAAAAGGGACACAGCCTTCGGACACAGTATTGCTGGAGGAATCAGAAAGGGTTAATTTTGTGACACTGTCCTAGGAAATGGTAGCACTGGAAAATATCTTGGGTAACTATGGCATGTTCTATATAGACGATTTGTGTTTTTTGTGAAAAAGGACCTACATGGGTTGTCATTAGATTGTTTCAGTTACTTAAGTAGAGTAATGCTTATTTTTATATTTTAACGGTGCATTTAAAATGGTGACACACAACTCCAGTCCTAACAGGTACATTGATTTTGCTTGAATTTAGAACTGAATTCTATTGGCTCAGATGTAAATCCAGCACTAATTAAAATCACGTATAATAGCTACAGGCTCTTTATGGACACCTGCCTTACAGCAAGTCAGATTCAAGCTTTCCCATTTCTCAGTATTTCCTGTAGTTGGGGGCCTGTACAAAGAGGGCAAAGAAAGTGCGCATGTTCATTTAGTTACTGTTTGAGTAAATTATTTATCGAGTCATCAAATGAATTGCTGTCTTTGTTGACCACCCAACAGGAAATAATTTAAATCATGCTACTTAATTGTTGCTTTGTGCACGAGTCCACTAATGGAAGCCAGTAAGGCAGCTAGGTCCATTCAGGGCACTCTTAGGGTGCAGGGTTTTAGTGCAACCATGATGCTCGTATTACAGCTTCCTATTCAGATGGCTCTCATTATGGCCCCTGTATGTGCCCATAAAGTACACATCTGCATTTCAAAGTGGCGACGCGTCTGAGCCATTGAAGCATTGTAATGTCTCCCATGTGATTAGTCAGTAATGGCTGGGTGGGAAAGGAACACCTCAGCAAATGGTGATGTTTAACACCCCCTTATGTTGCTGCTGGGAGTGCTCGCTGACGGGGGTGAGATTCACACCGAGTGTGTCGCCTGTTAGCAGAAGTGCGGCGTCGCCGTGGTCATCGATTGCGTTTGTAAAGGGAAGGCGGAGATATTCTGTTTCTCTCCTGGGGAAAGCTCCCTAAGCACACCAGGATGGATGCTGAGGGAGGCCGGCCTTTTTGCGCTGTACCACTTTAAGAAACTTTGCACCTAATAGGAAACGTTAGAAAACAAAAAAAGAGATGAAGAGACCCAAGATCTGCAGAGAGTGACATTTAAAACTCTCACAAAAAAATGTTTGTTGTTCCTTTTAGATTTTGGAGACACAGGGGAAAAGGAGCAGGTTCACAAGATAGATTAAAGGGTTGTTAATCTATGACACAAAACCAATAAAAAACTCTTCCCTCTCAACTAGAAAGGAAAATGTATTGAATAGTGAAAAAAGCTGCCTGTGGTTTGCTGCTGGGTCACCCTGCAGTCCAGCTCCTTCTGTCAATCAAACTTCCAAATAAATGGACATGGAAACATGGCATGAAGACTAATCACAGCAGTGACCTGAGTCCACCTCCTGTGATGAACACTGCTGCCCACGTCATCCTACTATGGGTGAAAAGAAGAAGTATTATCAATGAAATATCCAAATAACAACACGAATTTTAAAATGGTTGTCATTTTATTATTAAGAATTGTATTATTTTAATCTATATTGTGAACTAAGACATGCAACTATAACAAAATTATGTTTGAAATCAATTGCTTGGTTCCTCTTGGCTTAACATTATGAATAGTTTGGTTTTATAGCCAGGAAATAAAACGTGGCTTAATAAACTATGTATGTTTACTATGACAATTTTACTGACAAGGGCAAGTTGTATGGATTTGTGCTCTGGGACACAGATGATATGATTCCCCAGTTTGCATCGGTGCACCAGCATAAAAGTTGCCAATCTCATCAATTGAAGAAGTATCTGGGATAAGCTCATCATTTCTAGCATCTTTGTATCGGTAAAATGGAATTTAAATGTGAAATGGAAGAATCACATCATATCTCATTAGTAGTTACTTCATATGTATCTTTGATGTATCAGGTGGCAGTATATCACATCAGAATCAGTGATGGAGATGCACATCCCTACTCTGGGAGTTGGATGATGTCAAGTCCTAGGGGAAAGAGTGCACTGTGAAGAATGGGTAAGCATGCCGATGGCTCTGAGTGTGTGCCCTGCGACAGAGTGCCTTCGCCACCATAGACCTCCCAGCCCCATTCCCTGTCCATCCTGGGATAGGGTCCGGACTCATCAGGATCTTGTAGGAAATACAAGATTTTGTATGGAAGACGGGTGGATTTTCAGTGCAGATGGTTTTTGTTTCTAAACAGCGCTTTTCTTCACGTAATTTATCTACCTATCTGTCTGTTCCATCTTCCAGTCTTTTATCCTGCACAGGGGTACAGGAAGACCTGCAGCATAACCCAGGTGGCAGGGTATAAAGCAGAAGAACGCCCGGTTCATGGCACCCACACCCATCCATGCACTACAGCCACTTCACCTAACTGTACGTCTTTATAATTTTTATTAATAATTGTCGTTATATTTTTCTAATGTTCCCTCTTAGCTTGTCATCTGTAATGTCCATTGCACTGAGCATGTCAGTTAAACAGCAGCAAGCAGAGCGCTGGAGATGTGACCAAGAAGTCAATCATGAGTCGAGCAGCCACAATGGGCTGAACTAAACACATGAACAATACTTTTAGGGAGGAAAACAGGCGACGTATGGAGCAGCTAGAGAGCCAGTGCTTCATTGTACCGAACAACAATGTGTTAAATTCTGGGATATAGTGTGACTGGAAGGAGAGGAATTTTGATAGACAAATTCTGGTATAGGAGCAGCGTGTAAGAACGGGACAGAGGGGAGAATCTGACTTTCAGGGCCTGTCGCCCAAGGTAATCAGAAGCCCCCTTGAGACGCACCCCCCCCCCCCCCCCCAGAATCCTACACAGATAATCAGGGGGGATTCGGTGTACTACACATCTTTTTGTGTTTTGAGTTACATGCACTTGAGTAGGCCAATTGATGATTATGCATATTTTTTTCCTACGTTGGTAGACGATCGAAAAGAAAAAAATCTAACGGCCATGAGACACACATACAGCCATGTTTGTATCCATATCTTTGTGGGGACCGTCCATTCATTTCTATGGGAAAAAACCCTAATCCCAAAAATGACAACCCGAACCCCTAGCCTTAACCATATGTAACCAAACAAAAGACTTTTGGCATTTTTAGTTTTTTATTGCAGTCGCAGGGGCAAAAACTGGTCCCCACGGCTTTAAAATAACAGGTTTTTATCACATTGTAGGGACATTTGGTCCCCACAATGTAATACCCCTACCCAGCTCTAAAACGTCCCCAAACGTCATTTATGCGACCCCCCTCCCACACCCCCCCACGCCTGCTGACTATGTGACTGTGTGTTAGCTGGCACCCCGCAGCAGTCTGCCTTCCGGGCAGCCTGTGGCTCTGTGGGTTCCAACAGGAGCCGAGTTTAA